ATTTGTGATACAGATAAATTTCCATGGCCTCTTTCTCAAGAATAAGCAAATATTTACACAGGTGGACTCTGCAAGTCCGACACTATTTATCTTGGAAGAAAAAGCCTGCAGTAGGAGAGGGTGTACAATGCTCTTTTCGGGTACTTTTTCCTGGTATTCAAATTTGTTCAAATATAAACATGGGCTCTTCTCCTATTAAGAATGGAGTCAGCCTGTGGGGCAAGTGGTAGCTCGAGTACTCCCACAAAGTTTTCTAAAATGTCATTAATTTAATTCAACAAACCCTCTTCAATTCCTGTCAGTGTGCCTGTTCTTTGTAGCCACAGAGTAGAGAGATCTACATGGTTAAGGTTTACTCTCTGCCAGGTGCTCTTCCGAGGACTCCGTGGCAGGATCTCAGCCTTTAGAACAACTCCTTGAGTTGGGTCTGTAATTATCATCACTCTCTTTTTACAGCTGGTAAGGAGGCAGAGTCAAGCTCCAAATTTACAGCCATCTCCGAAGATATCATTCTTTAATTTTTTAAAACTTTTTAAAATTCAGATGTAATTTGCACACAGTGGATCTTATGAGTATAATTTGCTAAATGACAATTAATGTATACCCCTATGAAACCCACACCCTCATCAAGATACAGAATATGTTTAACATCCAGGGAAGTTCCCCTGTGTTCCTTCTCAGTCAACCTTCTCCCATTCCAGACAACCACTATTTTTATTTCTATCACCATAGGTTTTGTCTGCCCTAGAATTTCATGTAAATGGACTAATATAAGATGCACTTTTGTGCCTGGCTTCTTTCTCTCTGCATAATGTTTCTGAGATTCATTCAAGTCTTTGCATGTATTGGTGCTTCCTTATTGTTGAGTCACATTCAGTTTTATGAATGCACTGATTGTTCATTCTCTCTCCAGTTGTTGGACATGTGGGCTCTCTCCAGTTTTTAGCTATTATGAATTAAGCTGCTATTAACATTCTTGTGCAAGGCCTTTTGTAGCAATGTTTTCATTTCTCTTGGATAAATTCCTAGGATTGAAATTGTCAGGCCATAGGATGGCTATATATAACCTTTTACTGACTCCCAATTTTCCAAAGAGGTGTACTGGTTTAGCATTCCTATGAGCACTGTGTGACAGTCCACTTGCTCCATATCCTCACCAACACTTGATGTTGTCAGTGTTTTTCATTTCAGCCATTCTTAGGGGTGGGCGGGTCAAGGATCAATATCACATTGTGACTTGAATTTACAATCCCCTGATGACAAATGGTGTTGACCATGTTTTCATTGGCTTATTGGCCATTGGCATTTTCCTTTATAATTTTTAAATGTTGCTTATCTTTTATTATTGCATAGAAGTCTTTTGTCAGTTATATGTATTATGAATATTTTCTCCAAGTCTGTGGCTTGTCTGTTCATTTCCTCATGGTGTCTTTGATAAGAAAGTTTTACATTTTAATGACATCTGATTTATCAGTTTTTTCTTTTAAGTTAGTGCTGTGTTCCCATCTAAGAAATATTTGCCTACCTGCAGGTCACAGAGATATTCTTTCTTTTTTTATAGTTGTAACTCTTATATTCAGTTTTTAGCTTTATATTCTTAGATTTTATACTTAAGACTGTGATCCATCTTAAAATAGTTTTTGAGTATATTGTGAGGTAGGGGTTGACGTTTATTAGTTTCCAGGCAACTGTCCAATTGTTCCAGCACCATTTGTTGAAAAGAATCTCCTTTCCCCCTTGAACTGTTCAACACCACTGCGTCGGCAAAGCTGACTAAGGTGTGGTCTTTGCCCTTGGGTTACAGTCTGCAGAATAACTTCTGTACAGGAATTTATTGCTGCTCTTTCACAAAAATAGCACATTTAATCCAACCACTGTGGTGCATTGAAAACACAACCCTCTTAGGAAAGGGATAAGGCAAAGTTCATTTGCCCCCGTTCATGAACAATTATAGAAAATAAATTAATTAATACAAATGACCATGTCGGTGGTTAGTGTGTTTCCTGGAAGGAATGCAGTACAAGTAACAGTTTAACTTCAGAGAGTTCTTGTACCTTTAACCCTAGATGAAAAAACATGTGATGAATGCGTTCAGCACTCAGATTGCTACTATGATTAAGGTTTTAAAAGTTGTATCTGTGATCTTAGATGGTTCAAAGCTGAAATAAACAAACATTTTATTTTTGAGAAATTTCAAGATATTTTCCTGGCTTATAGAACTTTTAGCCATAAACAGTTGGATTAATTTTTTTTTTAATTTGTTTCATTGTTAACACATTTTTTTAAGTTTCAAAATATGAATGAAACTGTTAATGTTATAGTTCTTGGATCTTTCCCTATATAGACATTTGTGCTCCAGACATTGTTTGACCCTTGTTATTTGTAGATAACAGCACTTATAACTGCCACACATAGCTCTAGATGTTTTTAGGTAATGACAAAATGAGTTATGGTAAAAGAAATATCAGATTAGGAGGCTAAAACATCTGGGACCTAGAATCTCAGCTACTTGTAAAGTCAAGGTAGTAATCTGCTTGTATTTCAGTGTCCTCTGGTGTGAAACTGGAATGTTCATACTAGCTTCTTGGGGTCAGTATAGGACATGTACATGGTGGTTGAGAATGAGAACTTTAAGATCAGGATACCAAGGGTCAAATCCTGACTCCATCCACTTGTGACCTTGGGCAGATCCCTTAATTTCCCTAAGCGTTGATTTCCTCCTCTTTAAAATGAGGATGATGCTAGTATTATCCACCTCATGCTTTTGTCAGGATGGAGGTAGACAAATCTTCTAGCATCCTGAGTCTGTTGGGAGACAATTTTCCATAGTCCCTCACGTTTCTGCACGTCTTGCAAGCACAGGTAGGCACTGACTGCCTTTTGTTCTGAACTATCTTCTCAAGGATGTTTGTACAGAGAACTGCTTTGGAAGGCAGAGGTATACCTCCCTCCAGGGCAAAGAGTAGGCATGATACTGCTGAGTGTAATAATGCTAACATCTCCCCCCAGAGCTGTGGGTAATAAACTCTCCTTTGTTTCTGACCAGGAGTCGTATGTCTTCTCCCAACATCTATAAACTGTGGCAAACTGGGATGAGTTGGTCACCCTAAAGCAGGGTAAAACTCAGACCCTTTATAATTCTTGACAAGTGCAGTATTTGCCACAAAAGAAGCAATAAATATTACTTGTGTTGTTATTTTATAAAGAAAAAAATCTGGCATAACAAGTATTTTGAAAGTATAAAGTATTCTATACATAACTACGTGACAGAATGAATTTGATGTTTGTTGGCAGGTTGGACAGAAGTCAAATCACTATTGGAAAATTGGTCATAGATTCATAGGATTAAATATAAGAGGGAGAATTTCAAAGTAATTCACCAATGGAAAAAAAATTTCTAAGATAGCAGATTAAAAACAAACTTTAACCAATGCTGGCAGGAAAATATGAACCAATCATGAGGTATTATTATAATAAAAATAGGCATACAGATATCTAGAATTTATGAATCAACAGTTAAGTCTTCTACCCGTGGTTAGAATTTTTGAAAATTGCACTCTGTCTTTTCTCTTTATGAATCAATGTATAATCCACCCCATTAGTAAAAAGCCACAACCACAAGTCTTTCTGAGATAAATCCTTTTCATCCTTGGAACTCTACGTGAGGCTGCACTGGAACACCACCCTTAAGATCCTCAGGAAGACTTGTCCGACTGGCTCTGAAGCACCATCTTAGATCCTTCTGTGATCTTAGCAAATAATTTTATAGCCCCACCCATGCTGGGTTTGATTTTCACTCTGAAGCCCTTTCTTAATTCTAGAACTTTGGAGAGGCTGGAAGTAAAAAACTGTTTTATTATTGAGTCCAACAGGTTCTGGCTCCTCTAAATTTCACAGGTCTTCCTGTAGCTGCCGTCTCTCCTTCACGTTTTACTATGAGCAGCAAGGAGATGCCAGGCAGCAGTTTCCACTTGTGGTGTTGAAATTGCCTCAGCTAGAATATTGATTCCACTGAGTATGTTAACCATGGTTGACGGTGTTGCTAATCTTTCTGCTGCTGCATATAACCAGGGTCCCCTTTCTTCTAGTTCCCAGCAACATTTTCCTAATGTTCCTGTAAGATCTCACTGACAGCTCCCTTGAAGGCCATAACACCGTGGCTAGCAGTTCTGGAGGCGGAGGCAGATCCTAAAGGCACTTGCAACTGGTGGCTGTCGGCTGACTGTGCTCCTCATCGCTGATACTCTCTTGAAGGAGATGTGAGCTGGGCACCTCCATGGCTACCCTATGACATTTGTGCCAAACCGTATCTTAGCCTTTACCAGTCTGTTTGCTCTTGTCTCCTGGCATTACCTGCATGTCAGCTTATGTTATCGCTACACAGAACTTGTACTACTTCAATATGTCTTCAGATCACATAAATCCATGACATAGTACAGGCTGAGTTAGGTGCCCCTCAACACCCTATAATACTTATGATAATACAAGTACTTTCCTAGCACCCTAGAAATGTCTTTGTTATTGTGTATGTGGCATTCTGTGGTACTTAGTTTCAGATCTTGGCTCTGACAGTGACCAGCTATGTGACATTCATCGAATCATTTGGTTTCTATGTATATTGGCTTCTTCCTCTTTTATGAGACTGAGCACTTCCTATTGCGCTAAGAAGGCACTCATTCTTTCTCTTTTAAATGGGTATAATGGTAGTCTCCTCCTCACAGGATTGTCAGGATTAAATGAGATAATAAGGGTAAGTGCTTAGAACAGAGCCTTGCACAGAGTAAATGCTCAGTAACTGTTAGCTATGGTCATGGGTGATCTGACCTGGCAGAATACGTTCGTCCAGGTAGCTGGTTTACTGACAGAGAGGTGACTCCATCTCATCCCTAAAAGCTCTTCTGTTTCTAGGGATACAGTGTGGACCATTCCCCAAGAGGTTGTGATGTATACTGAAGTCATCAGAATAACTTTCCTCAACCTTTTTCTTCCTTCTGGTTTAGGTCTGCAGGACAACCCTTGGTTCTGTGACTGTCACATTTCTAAAATGATCGAGCTGTCAAAAGTTGCTGACCATACTGTAGTGCTTCTTGACCCCCTGATGATTTGTCGTGAACCTGAGCACCTGACTGGGATTTCGTTTCAGCGCGCTGAGCTGGAGCAGTGCCAGAAGCCGTCAGTGATGGCCTCAGCCACACAGATCACCTCTGCTCTGGGCAGTAACGTTCTGCTGAGGTGTGATGCCACTGGCTACCCAACCCCACAGCTTGCGTGGAGCAGATCTGATGGCTCACCTGTTAATTATACAGGTATTTTCTTAATTCAGGCCTATGAAACAGGAGTTTTCAAAGTCTGAATTTAATCTCTTGTTTTTGTGTGATTTGAAATTGACTGGTTAGTTCTAATAAAATATGGCAAGATTGTTGAGTGAAAGGAATTTGAAAGGCTCACTTTATTGGCTGATATTTCCTCATAGATGAAATCTGACAATCTAATTTTTTCTTAGCTAGAGAACAAACGGTCCAGTGGATGCATGACTGTAGATAAGATGTCTTGCTGCATCATCTTGCATATAGCTCACTGTAAAACATATAATCAGTACAACTTTTTAAAAAGGGATTTTCATAGTTTCTCATTTTTGAATGACTATATAAATAATAAATTACAAAAGAAAAACTATATGCAAATGTAGTCTGAAGCAAAAGTATGATTTTTAGAAATGCTGGGTATATAGACATTTCAGATACTCAAATGACCAAGTCAGTGCTTTGGCCTTAGTTTTCAATAGTGATATTGTGATGATTAAATCAATGTATTTTTAAAACTCTAAAATTAAATTTAAGCTAAAGTTGAAATAATGAACACTAATAGAATAAAAATAAGTTGAGGCTTAATATTCCTACAAATAATAGATAGTAAACAGCCCATAGCTTAAGGTAGTTAAATTTTGGGCTACTGGGCTACTACTCAGTGCATTATTATTCTTCAGAAAGCTTCATAAATAAAGACAGAATGGAAATATGTTAGAGTTTCATGTTTAGGAAAGTAAAATTCCAATTTTGAAAAAGTTATTTATTTTTTACAAATAAAAGAATTCATGTTTTACAATTTGATCTAAATGAAATATAAAATGAATGATAGAGAATGCAAATTATGGTGCCCTCATACCAGCTAGCCTTCTGGCTATGTAGATAGATGGCATTTAATTGAAATGAAAAATATTTTGGGAAATGTTCAAGGTCTTGTGATAAACATTATAGAATCACAGTGAGGTAAAATTGGAAGGGATCTTTGAGATCACTTTGTCTTATCCCCTCATTTAAAAAATACAGAAACAGATGCCTAAAGACACTAATTGACTTACCTGAAATCACATATTTTAGTGGACAAAAGTTACTAAAACTAAGTCTCTTAATTTGCAGCTTGTGTCTTTTTAAACTGCTATTTCCCATACATATCTCATGGTACCTGGCGTGTCCTAGACCCTCATGTAAACAATTTACTGAACTACCATCCACCATCAGAAACGAAGTCTGCCATTTTCCCCTTGGCTTATGTGAAAAGGACACGTGTAGATCCAGAAGGTTGCTTCCTTTGCAGTGGGCACATTGCTTGAGTTTTTGCCTGTTTCTTACTTAACAGAGCATATTTTTTTCTTCCAGTAATTCAAGAATCTCCAAGGGAAGGTGTCAGATGGTCCATAATAAGCTTGACAGGCATTTCTTACAAGGATGCTGGGGATTACAAATGTAAGGCCAGAAACCTGGCGGGGATGTCAGAAGCTGTGGTTGCTGTGGCAGTGGTTGGTATCGTCACGGCCACCATATCATCAGATACTTCCGCAAGGAGACCCAGAGATCCTCCTGAGCCAGTGGTCCAGCCGGGATCTAGAAGGTCAACATCTGCACCTCATTCATTGTCATCCCCTTGGCTTTCTTCCTCCTCTTTTTCTCCCCCTGCTTCTTCCAATGTTTTTTCCACTTCCACTTTGTCTCCCCCCTCTACTGCTTCCTTCTCTTTATCCCCTTTCTTCTCCATTGTTTCTTCCACCACAATTCTAAGCACCAGAATTTCAACCAGCACCCCAGTGGCCAGCTGGCAGTCATTTCAGCTCCACCCAAATGGAAAAAGAAATGTAAAGGTGGAGATGGGTGGAAGCAAGCTTCTGCCAGCTAGTGCAAGTAAAAAAGGAGAGTTGGCATTATTGGATCAAGCAATGCCAAGGGAGACAAATACCACAGTAAAGAATCTCAGGGTCATCAGCAAGGCTGAAGACAGAGTGACTCTGATGTGGAACACCGTCAATGCCACGCATGGCTCTGAAGTGACGGTGCTGTATTCCAAGCATGGTGAGAAGGACCTGTTGCTGCTGAGTGCAGACTCCAGCAAGAACCAAGTAACCATAGAAGGCTTGGAGCCCGGTGGGCAATACATAGCATGTGTCTGTCCAAAAGGAGGGCCTCCCCAGAATGACCAGTGTGTCACCTTTTCCACTGACAGAATTGAAGATGAAGGTGCCCCCCAAGGGTCTTTCCTTGTGGTGGCGAGTGGTGCTGCCTGTGTGCTGGTCTTGCCATTGATCTTTTTCTTGTTGTACAAAGTTTGCAAGCTGCAGTGTAAGTCGGAGTCCTTCTGGGAAGACGATTTGGCAGAAGAGACTTATATCCAATTTGAGACCCTGTCCCCAACGTCTCAAAGTGTAGGAGAACTTTGGACGCAAAGGCACAGAGATGATTCAGAAAGATTGCTGCTTTATTCTAGGTCAAGTGTGGAGTCTCAGAGGGCTTTTAAAAGTAAAGGTTCCAAACCAGAGTATTACTGCTAAGGTTTTATAGCTCAGGCACATGTGGACGCCACAAAATTAAGGACCTGAGTGAGTGTGTGGCTTGACCCTCTCTTTGGATGACTTTGGGACAGATTTTCACAGTCTGTATGAAAATCACAAATAGAGTGCTTTTAATTGTTTAAAAAATATCATAAAGCGTCTGAACTGAAAAGATAATCTTGATCTTTGTCATGTAGAAAATTTCCATAGAAATAATGTTTAGGGTCCCAGGTTTAGTAAATTTTTAGGGTAATGTTTTAGTTCCTAAAAATAAATTCATAGGAAAATAGTTGTAAAAAAGTGAAGTTTGAATTTACACATGTAACTTTTGGGCAGTGAAGAAAGATTAGCATGACCAGCTAAGCCTTGATGATCATTCACATTCAAAGTGCTTTATGCCTTTACTGTGGACATAGCTTGTGGATGAGAGGGGGATAGTACAGAGGTTTGTGCTCACTAAAAGGCTAAATCCAACCCAATGGAGGGGACAGGCTCCAGCTCTAGTACAATATCGTCTAGTTGTATTCCTATTGCAGGCAAGAAAAAAAAATTATCTTGTCATTAGAAATATAGGTATTAGTAAAAATAAATTTTAAAAGGGCATAAACAGTAAGGCCATTTTCAAAAATAGTAACAGTTGCATTCCAATACATCTGCTAAAAGGACTGTATGGATCTTTTTATTTTTTAAGTGATCATTTTAAAACAATCTCTTTAACATTTTGATGTTTACTCTTTTTTTCTCCCTCATTCCTTCCCCTACACCTTCCTTCATTGTTTTTTTTTTTCTCTTCGGCTTTGTCAGAAGATATTCGTAGCCAACAGACCACAGCTAAGCTATTTGTCCTTTGCCATGTTATATTTTGATTTCTTGGAGAAAGGGAAGAACTTTGAAAGTTGTTTTTAGATCCAAAAGGGATGTTTTAGTATTTTGAAAGAGTGGTTTCAACTGATTCACTTGGTCGAAGTTTCTAGGTTAAAAAACATCAGGGAAATTGAATTGGACTGGGTCACATGACTGGATAGGATAGGAAAGGGGTTTAGTTTTTTATTTTCAATAACTTTTTCATCATGTTTCTGAAGGATTATAGTCCTTTAACAGTAAAGACTTTGCAGTACAGAACAGATTTATTAAACATGTGTCAGGAGTCCTGAAATATTCTGAGAAATTACTATATTTTGCATAAGAAACAGATGGCTTTAATGCAACACATTGTGGAAACTGTAATACAAGCAACTGTAGAATGAAAAATTGTTCATTCCAAATGCTCTTAATTAAAAAGAAAAAAGGAAAACTTACCTGGCAAGGGAGATACCATGATTGCGAAGATGGTTCTCCCAGGGCGAGGCTCACCCAGTGCACTCTGGATCTGCTGACCCCTGAGATTTCCCCAAAGGTGGGAAACTCTACTGAATAATTTATGGTGGGGGTGGGGGAGGCTGCATTCATGCTTTCTCCTGTAAACAACAGAAGAAAAGAAAAAGAAAAAGGGAATTCTAGTTTAGCTATAATCTGCATTCTAGAAGACCAGCATGGATGGATAGCTTGCCTCACACTCCCCAGTTTCTCCTTCTTGTATAATTTCCTTCCATGTCTAGCCTGTTGGTGGTGCTTTCATCACTGAATGCAGTGTCCAGTGATCTAACAGCATTTAGTTCAGTTTTCATTGTTAGGATTTGTTAGAAAAATGCCTTTGGCAGACAATTTTGTGTTTAGCTTCAAGTTATGTTAGATTACCTTATTTTAGATTAAAAGACTGCTAAAGCTTACATTTCTTATTCTAAAGACATTATGGAGTTTCATTGCCGTATTTCAAAGGCTCATATAAACAGGCTGCCAAACTGCTGTCACATTAGAAACAATATGACTGGGGGAGAATGTTAACAGGCTTCTGAGCCAAATGCACCCAAATTGTCCAAAGGCAGGTTGTTTGTCAAGAAAGGAGACCTGGACCATCCTGATGAGATAAATTGCTGACTATCCTCACAATCAACACCAAGTGAGGCCTGGACCTACTTTGGACCAACAAGGAAAAGCTAGGTGCTGGTATGGGAGAGAGAAAGCACCTTTGTCATCATCCACCTGGTCTTGGCACATGAGGCAAGTTGCAAAGTAATTTGTTACTCATAGTGAAAGAAACAAAATTGTAAATCATTTACTTTAAAAAATGCATACATTTTGGTGTAGTCAAGGTTATCCTGATGATATCATTGCTCTTTTGGCCTTACAAGTATGCTTTCTGGAGTAGGAGAGACAGTTCAATGTTACAGCAAGCAGCATAGAATTCTGCATGACCAACAGCCTGTTTATCAATGTCAGCATGAGCAATGTGGAGAGCAATCATAACTGACACATAGCCAATGTATGTGTCAATTGAATATGATCATGTTTTATTTTCAGACAAAGTGTGTTGGAGAGTTGTAAAATGGGGTACACTGTGAGGGCGTGCCATGTGTGAGACTATCAGTGATGTGCTATGACATAAAAAATGTTGAAAAATCCAGCTAACAGTTTATGATCACCAGAAAAGTGATGCCCTGGATTTTGGAGTCAGACAAATGCCCTGGGCTTTGGGAAAACTTTTACAAAAAGTTCAAAGAAGAAAAACACTTTTGCCCCATGGACTTGAGTCTCAAAAAGGGCAATGATTAACAAAAGGGAGATTTTTATAAGCCCTCAAAGTTCTAGCTGAATAATTGTTAAGTATCAGATAAAATGGGAGACTGCTCAGGAAAATTGAATGGCTGTCTACTAATCTGAAATTTCAAATGTTATGTATAAAAGATACAAAGAAAGGAGACTAACCATTGGTGAAGATAGAAATGTAGCAAATCTGTGATAAAAGCATCATAAATTAAAGACCCCAGTAGACTGAGGATCCAAAAAAATGGTGAAGTTGACCAGAAGGAAATGTAAGGCTTGTTTTTTTTTTTGTCCAAAAAACAAGAAAATAATAAGTCTATTGCTTAAAGATGATAACAGAAAGTATATCAGAGAAGTAGCAGAATCATTCAATACTTTTTCTCCCTTCTCTTTTCTAGATGGGTTTTTTAACTGAATAAGGAGAAGAAACTATGAAAGTGAGAATTTTGACCCAAGGTAGATGAGGGATTAATAACTCCAGGATATTTAAAATGAGGCCCCATGAATTATGTGCCAGAGTGGTAGCAGAATTTTCAGCCATAATCTCAGAGCTACTGTTCAGTAGTCTTGAAAAGTCATGGCAAATAGGAGAGATACCACAGACCACCGGTGGGCAATTTTCATCTTTATTTTTGAAGAGAGATAAAGGGTGGACCCTGGAAAGTATAAACAATTTGATAAATGTTTGCAGAATTGACAACGGATTGTTAAAAGGCTTGTTTTTGAGCATGCAGAAATGTGTGTTATGGTCATTAACAACAAATGTCAACTAAGGAGAAGCTTTGATAAATTGATACTTTGTTTTAATGATACTAGGCAAACAGGTCAAAGGACTGCTTGAAAATCAAATAGCAGCTTGCTGTTGTTATTTGTCTTGACATGATGGAATAATATGAGTTACCTTTGCTCAAGAATGTCTAGTAATGGCTTTAAATAACATGAGAAAGTGTCTAGTAGGGTGCCTGTACCCTATTCTATTTAGCATTTTTGTAAACAACTGGACATAGACATCTCAACTCTACAGAGGACATGAAAATAGACAGGGTATCTTATATCAGTGCTTCTCAAACCTTTCCATGGAATATTCCTAACAGAAGGGGAAAGTGAGTATATACATTTGGAGAAACCAGAAGAGTTGTCTCAAGTGGTTGCCAGAAGAGAGACATTTCTCTAAATTATTTTGTCTTAATTAAAACCATTTGAATTTCCACTCTAAACCATATTTTTTTAAAAAAGGATTCTCCCTCTAATCAGTCTCATTTTTTAAGGCAATATCAGCATTTCTGTGCCTTTGAATAGCTTGGCACATATTCCCCCAGAGGTGATCTGCTTATCTTCACCCAAGTCAATGATAAAAACCTCAGATAGAATAGGATAAAGGACAGAGACCTGCGGCTCTCTATTGGAAACTATTTCATGTTGCCTCAAGCTGCCAATAAATGCATGTATATGATAGGTGAAGAAACCAGATCTTGAAAATTATCTTAATAAGATGGCATATTACCAGAATTAAGTTTAATAGAGATAAATATAAAATTTTGGATTAGCACAAATATGGGTTTTGTAGTGAAAAAACATCTGTGATTTTAGTTGATTACAGTTATGCTATGAACCAACGGAGTTATATAATTGCTAAAAATGTTACCATTAACTTACTTTAATATGAACAGTAGTTAGATCAAGAAAGGTAAGAGTCCCTCTGTAATCTGCATTAATAAACCATTTCTATGGGAGCAGGTTTAATTTTGGGTGCCAAATTTAAATAGAGATCTTGATAAATTACAGAGCATCCATAGGAAGGCAACTAAGATCACCAAGCAACTAGAAACTTTATTATGGATGGGGAACCTGGAGCACAGCTATGGGGACATGAGTCCAGCTTACTGCATGCAGCCCATGGCACTAACTGTTGCCCTAGAACACCATGCTCAGGAGCCTCTGCTTACCTTGGTAAAATGGGGACTACTGCGTTCTACAGGTAGAACTTTCAGTTAGCTGCCCAGGGCTTGGGAAACTGCATTTTGACACTTGACCCAGGGGAACTATGCAGGTGACATAAACACTTTGAGGAATACTGTTCTATCAGTGGATGTAGAAGCAATATTGGAATTATAAAGAAGGAGAATGGTTCCACATTAAAGAAAACTACAGCTTTTTGGGGGGCAACAACCAGAGTTGGAAAACAGTGGAGTAAGCCATACTGCAATAATATTACTTATGAAATTCCTGGATATTTCATGAGTCAAGGATGATGCAGAAGGGACACTGAAGGATATTGTAGACTAAAAGCCTGCTGATCAATTGTTTGGATTATAGCAGAAAGAAAGAAAAATTAATGAAACATTCATTGGTTTCAGTGGAAAAAGAATGTTACTTGTACTGATAAGTAACCTCTTTGTTTAATTAATAATGAAATTGATTTTGTATACAAACACCCGACTCTTGATTTGTTTAAATAGTGAAAATAATTAGACTATATTCCTGGTTCATATGTTTGTGTTGTCTCCTATTTATGCAATTAATTTCAACCATGTGGCTGGATGAAAGAGTTATTGTATTTTTCTCCTCTCCAGCATAGGGTATAACACTGATGATTCAGTCCTTAATTATTCAGGAAAAAAAGCCCCAGTGTTTATGTATTATTTTGGTACAGTTTGTAAGCTCAGATAAGTCCCTGCAGAGAAAGAAGCAGCAACTTTCCTATCAATGACATTATTTTAATACATCATTTATCAGCGAACTAGCTGTTTTTTTGTTTTTATTTATTTTCTGTTAAGGCATCATTGATATACAATCTTATGAAGGTTTCACATGAGCGACAGTGTGGTTACTACATTTACCCATATTATGAAGTCTCCGCCAGACACCCCATTTCAGTGACTGTCCATCAGCATATTAAGATGCTATAGAGTCCCTACTTGTCTTCTTTGTGCTATACTGCCTTACCCACGAGCCCCCTACATTATGTGTG